TGCTGGAGAAGACCTCCAGAAGTCTGAAAAAAAAGCAAATGGACTGTGGAAAAGCATAGCATAAAGGACTGCAGGAAAGAGAAGTTAACTTGCAGTATCACATACTTGAGAACTTTTAAGCATGTCTCTTTGAATCAATAACTCAGACTAAAAATCAAAGGAACTATTTAGGAAAAATACTTCCTCTGATAACCAGAAACATGGCAAATGGAGAACTCACTACTTCCATAATAATACATACACACATACACACAAATAATAGGAGAAATTATTTTCAGTCATTTATACTAACTCCCTGGCCTCAAACTGTTGACTTGTTAAAATACTAAAAATTTGTTTTCCTGTATCTATTTCTATTCAGGAATACATATTTAAGTACACATACTTTAATAGTGTAGCCTCCAAGGCTAGTTGGTTTACAATGCAACCTCCTTCAATGCTCTAACAAAGAAATGATTTACTGGAGTGCAAGAAAGTACAACTTTTTCTTCAGCAACACCTGTTGAAACCCTATTCTTCTTGTCTGTGGCTATCAATATGGGTTCAACATACACATGGACTTCAATAAGCCTGTCTAAAGCCTACATGCTCTTTTTGACATCCTGTGAACTCAGCCCCAGCATGGATCAATAGCAGAGCCAATTGGCAAATTATCTCTGAGTTTGAGGGGACTGTGCACAGGAGCAAGTCAGCAGGGAATGGCAACACTATGATTCCTGCTGCAGCACCCAAACCCCCTGGCTTACAGTGCAGCCATTGTACAGATGCACATTTATTGTGTCACACATGCAAAGGACAAGATTTTAAAAAAATGGTTACACCAGGAAAGAATGAGTTATGAAATAAGGATTGAACAAGAATAAGCATTGAACTAAATCTTGAAATTTTAAAGAAAAAGCAAAAAACAAGCTTCAGCTCTTACTTTTGAAGACTGTGTTGGAGAGTCACAAACATTGAAGTACAGAAATGCTACTGGTTTTCAATAGCCTGTAGGGTTATTCAGTCTAGGTAAAAAGACGATTTACAGGTAAGCCCAAGAAAAGAGGAACTGTTTGCTATGGGCATAAAACAAGTCCTCTGGCTCAAAAATTCTTTTGCTGAAGGAATTCTTATGCTGAAAATGCATAAGTGCTTCCTGAAAATCTCCATCTCAGTCACCAAAGCTTCACTGCAGAAATTCAGGTGACTGGCTTCTGAGAAAAGGCTGAAGGAGAGCTTGGGCATTGTTATAAAGGTAGCACATAACAAATCTTCTTCATAAAGAGGAATTTAAAAGCTGAGTTATTCAGAAACCGATAGTAGAAACAAAATATATCACAGACTAAATTCCTTTTAAAAAGAAAAGCTAAACACACTTACTGAGCTTAGCATGTCCAGGCTGACTTTGAATCAATAAGCAACTGGTTTGGTATCAAATGGATATGTACACCAAAATCAAGGATAATGCCTTGGCCAAAGTTTCACATTTCTTACAAGGCAAACACCGTAACTGGAATGACCAAAGGCCCAGCAGCTGCTCTGCCATGGACCCATCAGCAGATGGCTTGTTTGGGTGCTTTAAATTGTGTTCTCTGCCCGACTGACAAGGTAAGAGCACGCAGCCACTTTGAAGCCAAGTGCAACTTATGAGAAAAACACGCGTGACACGGGCAAATGCTCAGTAGCATTTGAGTCAGACAAAGCTGCTGGGAGAGTGCTTTTTCATCGTTTGACATCATATGAGTCCTGTGGCTGACATCCAAGCCATAGAAGAGAAGTGCTCCCATATCAAATGACAGCCAGGACCCCAGATGCTCTAAGATTTTAAGGAAGGATTGTGCACGGTGAATACTGATACAAAGGCTTAGCTTACCTACACAACATCCAGACAGCATCCATGTTCACTTGGCAGAAACAAAGAATATTAAAAACATATTTCAGGAATACCACAGAGAAGACTAACAGTCTCACCGTGCTTCATATGGACTTACAAAGCAAAGCTGACATAAAGTCAACTACAAATAATTGACCAACATGGTCAAGTGAGTCTCTGATCCGGTTAAACAAGACAAAGAGGGAGCTGATCATGCAAATTTAAAACCTATCACAGCCAGAACTAACAAGTTCTTCAAAAGGAACTAAGCATTACGAAAACTGTCTCTTTTCTGTTGCCAAGAGGTATTTTTGCTGTTGCCGCCATGCTTGCAGCATTGCCATGGTTCCTAAAATAACATTAATAATACCTAGAGGATCCCCCTACTCCCATTTAGAAAGAGAGAACTCTAAGCCTTCACTTATGAATTGGGACCAATGTAAGCAGACAGGGAAAATGGACAACACCAGAAGCTCTATGGAATCAAGCAGAAAACATATATTTAATGGATGAAGAGAAAAAATATAATTTCTACTGGGGCAAAAAGAAATCTACTGATATAACTACTTGGTGTCAATAATAATGGAAGAAAGGTAGAGAACAACTTGAAAAGAGAAGGGTAAAGAGGAAAGGAATTATTCCAGGGATCAATTCATACTATCTGCTGCTTATCAAGAACATTTTGGAGTTTAACGCTCCAAAGAAGCTACAAAACAGACATTTATCCAAATGCTCATGAACTTTTTCATACTGCTACATTATTGCTCATATGATACATCTGGTCCTCTCTTCGACTGTATGACTTGCTAATTTTAAATACCATTTCTGCACATGCCACTTCTCAATTAAGATGAAGCACTAGGACAGGCAGGGTAGAACCTGAGGCCCCTCCACTCACCTCTCCATAAGGCTCTTTGCCATCTCCTCCCCAGAAACAGGAACCAGCAGCCACCTCCTGCTGCTGGTGAATTTCAATCTAAATTAGACATACTATGATAAAGAAGGATCATAAGTGGAAGATAGGGAAGAGATGTCAGAAAATGAGGAAATCAAGTTAGTGACTGTTGTCATACCTGCATCACAGTGAAAATTCCATCAAATCTAACAACTGACAGGCTCTGACATGGAAAGTAGTGCCTTGGCTGATCCTTGGCTGCAGAAGGTCTGAAGACTCACAGCACTATCAAACTGTGTAAGCAGCTTTAGAAGCACAAAGTTATCAGCATGGGGAAAAAAATCAAACTAAATCAATGCAACATTCATGGAATAATAAAAATTGAATAAAAGAAATAAAAGAGATGAGCAGTTGTGCTTGAGATGCAGGTAAAGAGACCAGCACTGTATTCTCCAATACGTCTGTGAAAGGTGCCCTAAAACTGTCAAGCCATGAGATCAGACACACCCAGACTAATACAACATGCTGCTGGGACTCAAGACAGCTTATATAGTGCAGTGGGACAGCAAGGGTATATGACTCTGGCAGCTACACGTTGAGTAGATCTGAAGAACATGGTACAAACCCAAAAGATGAAAAAAATGTGAATAATCAAGATGAAAGGCTTGTCAACACACAGGGAAAAAAATGGATGAAAAGCAGCCATTTGGGAGAGATCATAAAAAATAATGTATTTCTAGAAAGCTTCAAAAGATTTTATTTCTTTGGAACAGGCAAAAAGGGCTTTTCAAGTAGGTAAGGTGAAGGGATTAAAAAAGCATGGGAAAAAGACTTCAGCATTCTTATAATTCTATGATGTTTGTTTAACACACTGCATTGTTCATTAAACAATAACCAAATAGATCATTCCACTGAGACTGAATTGCAAAATCTGGCAAAGCTAGACTCAAACATGGATATTGTGTTTCTCATCTAGGAAAACTTGTACGCTCTGTTCAATACACTGTTTTTTGCTAAAGGAATTTAAAAAATTATAATAATCTGATCCACTATAGTGAAGACCAAGACAAATATGAGCCTTTTGGTCTGTTCCCAGGAAAATCTCTGGTAAATTAAATACTTTATGAATAAAAAAAAAAAAGGAACATGCTCTGATATTAACTATTACAAAAGTACTTCTTATTATTCAGATTTTTACTTAGAGGTCTTTACAACCTAAATCTTTCTATGATTCTGTGATTTTCTAAGGTCATCGAGTCCAACCATTAACCAAGCACTTCCAAGTCCACCACTAAAAATGTTATGATCTCCAAAATATGACTATTGAAAACAAATTTTTGACACCCAAATACCTTTAAAATTACCATATGTATATACAGTCCGAGGTGTTCATGATGTGACTCTCAATTTTGTTGTCCGTGTGCATAATGTCGTACATGGTGAAGAGTTTCACTGAATTAAAAAATCACTCACCACTAGTAGGCATCTGAGTCTTTTACTGCTAGTTGAGGCACTTAAATTGTGCTAAACTCCGCAAAGGGCAAATATTTAACATTAAAAAATCTAGTTTTAAGTTGTTTCTCACTTAATGAGATGTACTTATTTTGAAGAGCAAATGACACTTTGGTGGTCTAGATTTGGAGAGTAATAATTTACTTCTGATCTATCACCCAGCCATTGCCCTCTCTGTGGAGAATCCATCATGCCCAACTCTTGTCTGGCAACACACTTAGGAGAAGCCTAAATTCTAAAATAAACAAAACTCAATTCAATATGACAGCGAAAACTTCAGCATATCCTGTTCTGATTCATGGAGGTCATCGTCACAAAACCAAAAGGAATTGCAGTCTGACACCCTTAAAAGCAACTCCTCTGTTCTACAGACTCTTGACTTAAGGGCTTTTCAAAATGCCTCAAATCCATGCTCCAGTTTTTAAGGCACATCTCTCTCTTTAAAGCAACTCTTTTGCCGCAATAAAACCGTCAACTTTTTTAGCAGCAGATAGCAGAACTCGAAATGGAAACATCTGGTGTCGCTTACGGACATATATTAAAAGAACAGATACTAGATTTCCCTGGAAAAATCAATAGTTGCTCTTCTTCATCTGCAAAGCGGGCTGCTCATCACGGCTCGATACGAGCCCGACACACAGAGTCTGCGTCTGGGATTTTACAGCGAACCCTCGGGGGTCGGCGCGGTGGGCACACCGTGTCCCCCGGGGACACCGCGTCAGGGGCGTCTCTCTGCGGTACCTGAGCAGAAGCTGTTGCTGCTGATGGTCCTGCCGGAGCGGCCGGAGGAACTGGGCGGGTTGAATTCCCGGCTTTCCTCTTCCGAAAAGGGCGATTCGGAAGCTGGGGATACCTTCTGCTGCGGCCGGAGGACCAGGCGGGGGATGCGGCTGCGGGACACCTCCCTTTCCAGCTGCGTCTTCTGCTCCTGCTCGGGAAGGGACACCCCGGCGTCAGGGACCTCTCGGATGTGCCCTCCTCTTTCCATCATCGAGGCAGGGGCAGGCAAATCCCGGCCCCCCCCGCCCCCAGGGCGGGGCGCAAGACGAAATCTGCCTGCCCCTGCCCCTGCCTCTCCTCGCTCCCCTCCGCGAGCGGAGCCCCGTCCCTCCGCGGCTCCTCACCTTGCCGCTCTCCCGCAGGGGCCCCATCGCTCCTCAGTCACGGCGTGGCCGGGAACAGGCACCTGCATGGACGAGAGGGATGCGCTGAGCCGGCTCTGCTTTGCTTTGCTGCCGCTGCGCGCTGGGGGTGGCGCGCCCGCCCGGCCCCCGCCGCTCCCCGCCCCGACACGTGTGCCGCCGCCGCAGCGCCCGCGCCGCCGCCGCTCCGCCGCCCCAAGGGCGCCGGGCAGGTGCGGGATGGGGCGGGATGGGCGCGTCCCCCCGCCCGGGGCGGCAGCCGCATCCCCTCGGCACCGCTGTCGGTGGGATGCCCCGGAGGGGACCCCGCTGCCCGCCCGCCGCCTGCCCTCCGCCAGCCCCTGCTGCCGGGCCGGGCCGGGCCGCGAAAGGCAGAAAGGAACGTAAACATACAGAAATGAGGGCAGGCCGAGTGCGGTCTGTGTGTGCCGTTAAGGTACCAAAGCAGATGCGTAACAGAGGGCAGATGTTACCAGTACAAATACGATGGATGTTATATAAGTAGCAAAATGCGTCGTCAGATTTTCCCTGCTCCTTATTCGTAGAATCACAGAATGTTAAAGGGTTGGAAGGAACCTTAAAGCTCATCTAGTGCCAATGCCCCTGCCACTAGACCAGGTTTTTCAGGTCCTTGCACACTGCCAGGGTTGGGGCATCCACAACCTCCCCAGACAACCTGTTCCAGTGTCTCACCACTCTCACAGTAAAGAATTACTTCCTAAAGTTAAGAATTTCTTCCTATTGTTATTCAATAGGAACATGTAGAAAGAGAAAAACTTACTTGCTTCTCAAACATAAAAATGTACTTGATTCTCAGATAACACATGGCACAGTATATTTAATGATAGTATTTTCTCTCTCACCTTCCATTGAAGTAGTTGTCATGACCCTCCTATTGATTAATGCACATGTAACCTTGTTCATCTGCTCCCCAGAGCATGCATTAGCAGGGCTGCAATCTGGCCTGTATGCATATGCACACAGTGGTTGAATAGGACTGCTTTTCCACAAAAAGAATGATGAAATTCTTGATGTGAAGTTCATTTGAGGTTCCACATAGATGTGTACTTACAGGACTTAGTGAGCTTGCAGAGTTTATACTTTCAGCAATCGTATTTTTGGGCAAAGATTCCCTCTGCTTCCTACTGTCCTTGTTTCATCTAGGATAGAGTTAATTTCCCCATGGTACCTATAAAGGGCCCCAATTCCTGGTGGGAACTTCTGTTTGCTATTAGAGCATAAATATTAAATACTGTCTCAAAAATAATTAAGAGCAAATGTGCCTTTAATGTGTAGTGCAGAGAACATACTGGCAGTAACAGGAAAGGTGATGAGTTCATCTAGACCTCAAAGAGGAAAGAGGACACTGGTGAGTACTGACACACTGATTGTTGCATATCCAAAGAGTTATAATTACTAATTTATTAACCTGGCATCAGAATTAGATCCATTACTTATGTAGAGCTCCAAGCTATGCTCTGCCAAAAAGATGATACCATCCTCCCCTGGCAGTGTCAAGACATCTATAATTCAGAGAAGTGAGATAGTTACATCTGAAAAAAAATGCTTAAAATTCCTCTATTAAAATATCTATGTGCCTAAAAAATATATTCTAAGCACTGGAATCTACCTTCCTGAGGCACAAAAATGCAGGAAGAATCCTGAACCTTTCCCTACTGCTCCAAGACTGTTTCCATGGAAAATTGCAAATCACATATTTTAATCACACAAATTTGCTCTTCCGTTCAGTAGGCACCAGGGCACTTGAGACCATGGGCTTCTCCTGCGAGCCACCCATGGCACATGTGGGGTGGAAATTTCCCATGTACATTTGCAAAGCTCTTGTACCAGTTGTAAGAGTAAGAAGAAGCTGTGCAGCAGCACTGCCATTGCCATAGTAACTCAGCTCCGGAGCTGCTGCTGATGATTCAATTGTCAGAGCCTGTTTTATCTTTTTCCATTTCAAGCTCAAGTTTTTCCCTTGCTAAGAAACAAGATATAAGAAATGAAGTCTTCAGGCTGCCTCAGGGTTCATAATGGGATGTGATTCCCTTTGATCTCCTCTTCTCTTGGCATAGAGATTTATAGCCTTATCATAAATCATAAAACAATCATTAACTTTCAAGCAAACTTTTACTCCCCCTTACAGTCGTGTATCTAATAAATATTGAAACATTAAGTCACTTTTCAGCTTATTAAAATATTTTTACTAGTTAATCGTCAGTACTGGGAGGAACACATACTTGACATGAGCATGTGATACCACTCTTATTCCTCTCTTATGTCTTTTACAAACCAGCAGCATCTCTGTAATACCTATAAAACTAATTTTCATAACCAGTGTGTAATTCTGAACAAATCTATATTTGCTGTGTAAAGAAAAAATGTTATACATTTATGAAGGCCTCAAAAAACCTACAGAACACAGTGTATTCTTTGCCTTTTTCTTGCTTTACTCCCTTCTGAAAAATAACAGCTCTCCAGGAAGCCGCAGAGGGCTGCAGATTCAGCAGGAGTGCCTGGACTCCAGGAGCTGCCAGGGGAAGCTGGGCACTGCGCCAGGCCCTGGGGTTAGACCTTATGCTTTCCTGAAAGGGGAGCAAGGTATATGAAGCAGTTTTTGTTCCAGGCTTTGCTACCAAGATCTTCACTCTGCTGGAGTGCTCTTACAGAAAAAGTTGCAAAGGAGAGAGGATGGAGTGAATTTTAGAGGATCACAGAGTATGCTTTGCTGTCATCTCTGTTCCTGTTTTGCTGCCGCCTCTGAATCTTCTCAGTTGGAGGAGGAATGGGGTTCTGATGCAGCAGAGTTTTGCTGATTTTGGCCAGCAGTTAGCTGTGTCCATCAGCACAGTCAGAAGGAACTCAGTGCATTGCCACTTCCACATCTGAACTGCTAAGAGAAAAGCTTTATCTAATGTTTTTGCAAAGCTTTCTGTGAAATTTAGTTTTCTAAGTTTATTTGTTCTATCTGATGGCACACGGTTTCTAGACATCTGCAAATGCTGCTTTCCAGTTTGCTTTCTTGCAGTATAGTAGTTTTGCTCTTGAGCTGTCAGAATAACAGCAGGAGAGCAGTACAGTAAAGGTCCCAGCATCCTAATTAGGTATCCAAATACCTCTGTTCATAATTGGGCACTTCAGAAGAACAAGCAAAAACCATAACGTACTCAGGACAGAGTTGCCTAGAGCACAGCAGTAGGTACAAGGGTCCCTTTGCACCATTCCACACAAGTGGTTTATTCATGCTGCTAGCAGGGACCAAGTCTCAATTTTGACCTTCTCGGTGGTACAGCCTTGCATATGACTTTCTGATTCCATGAGTTTTCCTTCTCTGCAGTAGTTGAGCTTCAGCAAGAAGGATTTCACTCCTCACTTTTCTTTTGACCAGTCCCTTTACAGAGTGGAAGTAAGCAGGACTTGTAGAAGGTCAGAGGCTGTAGTCATCCAAGGTAGCAAAAGGAGTGGAACATCTACTTCTTGGTTTGTTTTTTTTGTTTGTTTGTTTGTTTTGTTGTTGTTGTTGTTTTTTTCTGTGTGTGTGTGTGTGTGTGATAATTAAAAGGCTGAACAAGGATTCTTGCGCTATGTGAATTATTACTCAACAGTCACCTCATGCATCTTTGCTATTTTTATGTTGCCACCATTTGGTAGTATTACATATACTTGCAAAATTTGACTTTGTGGGGAAGTGGCATGCTTCTGCACCCTGACTTTCACCTGGAGGATGCTGGTCCAAAACCAGTCTGGCTCATTGCTCAGGCCAGGACTTACAAGTTTTTGTATTACTGAAAGCACTCATGGACATTTGGGATAAAAAACAAAGAGATATTTTGTAATCCTATGTTCATTAGAGTTAGATGGCTTTCTTGCAAAGTTATTTTGATTTGGAGAGTTTTGGTGCCTAAATCTCTCTAAATTCAATTTCAAGTGGCTGAATTTTTCTTATTGGTTTGGCACTGGGCTTTTGCAGGTCAGTAAAGTGCAGACAATAATTATACTGATTTAGGACCGTGGGCCATGTTTTGGTTTTGAATCACATCACCCTCTGAGGTCAAAGGAATGCTGAATGAGGCAGAGGCAGAGCTGGGCTCTGTAACCCCAATACTACGTGATTTCATTAATGCAGCACATAGCTGATAATGTTCCTGTCTGACTTAAAGAGCATCTGTAGTTTGCCAGCTGAGGCAAGTTTGCTTATCAAATGTGTTGATCCTGTTTTTCTATTCAGATGGGTTGTATAATATCAGCAGATCTGACTCAAATGTTACACAAATGCTAGAAAGAAGATCAGCTGGAGCTAACCATTTTCACTGCAACAGTTTACATTAGAGGTTTTTAGAGAATTACCTGAAAAATTCTGTCATCATCTTTCAGAAATACTGGAAAATGAGGGAAAGATGAGAAGACTATGAATATCATTATAATATATAGAAAAAAGAAAAAGGGAAGCATTGCTTCTTGATCTTGGGCAAAACAATAATATAATTAATTTGGGACCATGGCAACACAAATCAGAGGTTGAAAATATAACTAATAGCTATCAGGATATCTTCATAGGAAGCATATCTTGTAAAAATTGGAGCAAATAGTAACATTTTAAAACATACAGTCAAACTCAAAGAATGACATCTGGGACAAATAATAAAGCTCTACCATCAGGATGGGAAACTGTTTTGGAAACTAAATACCCATAGTAGCAAATACCTCAATATGTGTTCTTAGACCATGACTGTGGTTAAGAGAACTAGTGTTGAAGAAATGGAATATTGAGCTGAAATAGGGGAGTGATCTTGCCTGTGTGCACAGTATAAGATGTCTGCTGGAACAGTGTGTTCAGTGCTAGTGGGAAAGAGTTCAAGGCAGATCCTATTTTCTGCAAGACATTTATTTAATCTGACTTCTGATAAGAGTTGTGTGATCTGTTTGTACTAAACAGATCTCTGTCAGTACTACTCAATGAAATGTAATCCAGAAAGCAAGTTGAAGCACTGCACACTCTCAGATGTTTGTGTAGCAGCCTATATATGTAGAAAGGATTTGAGCTGACTTGTCTGACTTCAGGCATCTGAAGTTACTGTGTGAAATTATGAGATCTATAAAGCCA